CCTCTCTTCTCTAACTTTGGGCATCAGGTATTTTGTCTGAACAACTAGAGACGAAATTAACTAGGACACCAGACAACTTGCCCTCTGCTACCTTTTTGCCATTACACAAATGTAGTGAGAAGTCAAGTGCACACAGAGGGTCTACAGTCACCTACACTCCAAGAGAAAAAATCTTGAAAGGAAAGCTACCTTGTCAGCACCTCGATCTTGAACTTCCCAGCTTCCAGACAATGAGAAATCAATTTCTGTTGTTTAAATCATGTTTATATTTTGTTTTGGCAGCCTAAGCTCACACACACACACACACACACATGCACACGCACACGCACACACACACACACACACAGTGTTTTTGTTTTTGCGCACTTACTTCCTTTCTGGTACTGTAAGCCATTCCAGGCTCCTCTTCTCTATTTCCTGCCCCCATTTTAGGCATTTCTCCAAGGAGCCTGGTTCCTTTTATTGGAGAATGGCATTAGAAACCAAGAGCTGGTTCCTAGTTAGCAAATTATTTTTGGATGGTGTCTTAGCTATTTTCTCATTGCTGAGCCACAATACTTGACACCCACAATATTAAGGAGGAAAGGTTTTATTTTGGCTCACAGTTTGTAAAGGTTTTAGTCCATAGTCTGCTGGCTCCAAGTCAGGGCAGCATAGTAGAGGAGAAACAGTTCATGACATGGCAGTGGGGAGTGGCGAGAGCAATCGAGGGAGAAGGGAAGGAGATCCACAATTCCAGGGCACACCCCCAGTGACCCACCTTCTCCAACCATGCTTCACCTCCCAAATCACATTTACTTATGAACTCTACAGTAGGAGTAGTCTGCTGATGAATACCCCGTGCCAATGATCCAATCACTCCCCAAAGCTCCACCTCTGAGAACATGAGGCTTTGGAGGAACATCCAGATATAAACCTTAAGAGATGGACAAATAGGACTGGGGAATTAGCTCAGTGGCATAAGCGCCTGCCTTGCAAGCACATGGTCGTGAGTTTGATCACCAATACCAAAACAGAAACAAAAACAAAAAACCAAAAAAAAAAAAAAAAAAGAGATGGATAAATAAATAATCACTTATTTTATGCTTCCTGTGAGCCAGGCACTAGTTCCTTTTTATGCCTATCTACTTAATCCTCATAACAACTCTATGAAGTATTCTCCGTCAACCTGCTCTATAGATAAGGTGTAGCTAGATTAAATGTTAGCCAACATCATCTTGTTTTGTCTCCAAAGCCTATCACACTGTTATGGTAGAGACTGGTGTTATATGCAACTCAAATAAGCAAAACCTATTTATCTTAAATTTTAGCCAAATACACTTCCTAAGTACTGGGATAATTTGCACTACATTCATTCTGTAACAAAATTATTTTTTACTCAGTGGAACGAAGATATAAGACCTTCTTGGACCCACAACAAATACAGATTATCTGTTTTGATGGGCACAGATGTCCCACACCTCTCCTCACGTGCAAAGATGACAGGCATCTCCCTTCCTGTGCTCATGTCCCATACATGTATTCTATGTACAGATAAATCTTAAATTACAGGATAACTAAATATGACACAAAGAAAACTGGTTTATTATGGTAGATCTTCAGAGTACCTGCCAAATGTTCAAACTTGAATCTCTTTTGTGCAAAGGACTCAGTATGAACTTAGGGATGTTCTAAGGCAACCATTTAGTGTCTTAGCTGTCATGCTTCCAAATAATGTTCCCAAAGATAAAACTCTGGGAGGGTCTAAATTTTGCCCTCAAGGATGGGAATCAGATGGCATCAGAAAGAACAAATCAGGCTGCCAAAGTAACTAAGGCTTCCATCAAAGTGATCTGCAACTTGAAGTGGATATTTATTGTTTTGTTGGTGTAGTGCTCCCATTTCTTTGGAGTCCTCTCTAGAGCTGGCACATTAGTACACATGACCTACTCCTGGCCTTTTAGCCATTCAAGGATGGGCACTTGCCCTAGTTGGGCCAATTCTAGTGTCTTTCCCTTGTACGTTTGGAAAAGGAATTCTACAAAGAGACTTGACATATCTTTAGTGACTGAAACTGTGAACACTAGGCTGCCAGTGGTCATGTGAAGGAACTGTGTAAGCAGAAAGAGTAATGAAAACACACACACACACACACACACACACACACACACACCATCTCTGAGTTTTTAATTCTGGATCTGACATGACCTAGGTACTTCATGCAGAAAGCTCTAACATCTTTCACCAAATCCTTTTTAATGCTAAAGCTAATCAGGGATGATTTTCACTTACTTCTAATCAAAACAGCCTTAACCAATGCAGGAAGACATACATCAGTGGCATATTATTAATACATCACAAATAAATATTTTCTGAGACTCAGACTTGTATAGTACTTTTAGTTCTCAAAATACTATAGATACAGTCAGGTACAGTGGTATATGCCTAGTTAACCAGCTACTCTGGAAGCTGAGACAGGAGGATCACAAATTTGAGGCCATCTATGCTACTTTATGAGATCTTGTCTCAAAATAAAACATAAAGGTGGCTTGGGGTGTAGCTCAGTGGTAGAGTGGCTAGGGTTCAATCTCCAGTATTGGAAAAAATTAAAGATACAGTTTAGATCATCTACAAAAGATAGTTGTCATATTAATTTTTCAGAAATTTCCTAAATACATACTAATTTATCTTAACTTTGCACAATTTTGTACAACTCTGCAATTTCTAGTGATTTGGCTTTCAAGCCATAAGAGCTTCCAAATTATCAATTTTTTTCTCCATTCTTACTTTTTGTATCTGGTAACTAGGGGTAGTAATCTACAAAAACCTTATAGGATCAACATTAATCTCTTTTATTGAGATGGTGTGTTACTAAATTGGCTAAGCTGGGATCAAATGTGTAACTTTTTTGCCTCAGTCTTCCAGAGTGCTGGGATTACAGGTGTCTATCACCATTCCCTGCCAAAGCTTTCTCTTACAGGAAACCTCAGACCCCAGTTTTGGGTTCACATGGCCTTGACTGTCTCACCAGTCTTTATGGGGGCCATCTCTTTTGGCCCATTGGCCTTAAATTTCTCCCAATATATGGCCTGTAGACTTTCCCTCAGACTGGCATATCCACTTGATCTGCCACTGAGACTAATCCTTTTCATCTTTCAGGTCAGCCCTGATTCACAAGGCGTGTTGTACTTGTAGTATCTATGGAAGTGGTAATTGAGAAATGGTGTAAATTACTGAACAGCTTGACTCCCTGGCTCTAAGCATAAGCTCTGTGTAAGCAAGGACAGTGTCCTCTCACTGCTAAACTTCCAACACTAGGCCCACAGCTTAACACAGCTGGCCCCAAGTAAATAAAAGAATTAACAGCTACCAGCTCAAGGGGCAGTGAATACCCAAGGCTCCTAGGTGTGCACGAAGGCCTGCCCAGACAGACACAGAATGCTGTAGCAGCTTGGCAGAGTGGCTGGCAAAACCAGAGATAAACTGAATATACCTACACAGGCCACCCCCTCTATTCAATTTTTAAGTGACTAGGAAATCTTAAGGTTTGGGTATTGTTAGCAACAAAAAAAGTAGTGCTAACATGTTATATAAAAGGACATTTGGCCCAGAACACAGCCATTGTGAGCAACACATACTGTTTCTGGTGTCACAGTGTTATTCTTCATTTAGGGTTAGTGTGCATTTAGGGTTATCATTATCCACCCTTACTTATTTTTGCTGGTACTGAGAACCTAACCCAGAGTTAAAACATTTGCTATTTTTATTTTTTTGAGACAAGATCTTGCTAAGTTGCCCTGGTTGGCCTCGAACTTTCTTAGCTATTGTAGTAGCTGTGCAACCATGCCCAGCAACTTTTTTTTTTTTTTTGCAGATGCTTTATCATCGCTTAGTGATTCCTCGAAACAGTCTTAGGCAGAGCTGCTGCCATTGTTCGGGTGTGGAAGAAACGTTTCCTCTTTTACAGCGTGTGTAGTTTTGAACGATAAGAATTGCTAAAGAGGAAGTAATCAAACCTACCAGGCATACCCTGCCCTCCAACCAGCACGATGCTTCCGGGTTTTAAAAAACTGCTTTCATGGTGCCTGCCTGTAATCCCAGCAATCCGAGGCTGAGGCCGGAGGATCACGAGTTCCAGGCCAGTTCGGGCAAAAACGCAAGTTCAAGGCCAGGTTAAACTGCATAGCCAAACCCATCTCAAAACAAAACGCAAATTTAAAAAAAAACAATAAAACAAAAAGCTAAAGAAAAACAAAAACCTGCTTTCATATCCGCTTGTGAATTGTCCTAGATAAAGCAAACTGAATTACGTCTCACCTGTTCACATAGAAAATATCAACAAGTAATTTTACAAATTTCATTCTAACAATCTGCAGCTGTCATAGACGAGACAGCGACACGTATCTTATATTGGAAAGTTAGCTGCATTCGGTTTTTCCCCCCTCAAATACGCATACGCAACTGCAGTTTGCAATCACCCTTAGGGCCTTGAGGGCCAGAGACTTCCTCCTAGCTTCCATCACTCCCCTCCACCCGCCCCTTCCCCGGGGAGATGAGTCTTTGAGGACTTCCGCAAAACCCCCGCGAGGAACGCCGCGGGGGCTCTCTCAGAACACTGTGAAACCGAAACAGAAATCTGTAACTCAAAAATTCACCGCAGGAAATGCTGTTTTCCAGAGGCAGGTGTGTCTCTCCCCAGGATATGGTTTTCAAGTCTCCAACTTGACTAAAGTTTTCCTTGCCACAGATCACCTACACCTGCGGGCTCGCTGCCACCTAACGCCCGGAGCGGAAAGACCTCGAGCTCAATAAAGCCGCACGGAAACCGGCGCCTGCCACACCCGCCAATTCCGCGGGCGCCGCGGTGCGGAGGTGAACGACTGGGCCCCGGGCCCGCCTCTCGCAGACAGGCGGCCTGTGATTGGCTAATGGCGCTGTCCATCGCGAAGGGAGGTGCGACGCGCTCAGGTCAGTGCTCTCATTGGTCGTGAAGGCGGCGGCGGCGGCGGCGCGCGCCATCTCGGCGAGGAGGGGAAGCCGGTGGCCGCGGCGGCGGAACGGGCGGAGGCTGCCGGTTTCGTAATCGTCGCTCCTCCTCGCTGACTCGCGGGCTGGGAGGCCTGGGTCTGATCGGGCCACGCCGTGCGTGGCCTCTCGGAGTGGAGGCCGCCTGGGGGCGGGCGGGCTGGAGGCGCAGGTAAGAAGGCCGTGGTAGGCGGGCGAGAGTGGAAGAAGAGGAGGAGGCGGCCGCGGCCGAGCCGGTTGCTGGTGTGGGGTCGGGCCCGGCCCGGCCAGAGGCGGTCGGTTGGTTTGGAAGGCCCCTTTTAGCTCGAGTCGCGGCCGAGGGCCCCGCGCGGCGTCTGATGCAACCTGAGGGCAACACCCGGCGGGGCTGAGCTCATCCCTGGCCGCCGCCCAGCACGCAGGCGCCGCCCGGCGACCCCCGCGCTCCCCCGCGACCCTCGCAGCCCGGCTGGGGACTGGATGCAGGACGAGGTGTGCTCCCCTCCAGAACCCAGCCCCCTGTCTGTGAAACGTGCTGTGTGACAGACCAGCCACGTATTGGCCCCCGGGGATGGAGGGTGTTCCCAAAATAGAAGGTGGACCATATCTTAGTTTAGTGCCACATAGGACATTTCCTGTCGCTCTGAAACGGCGCAGTTAGGGGTGGCCCAGGATGATGATAGGGACTAGAGTGATAGGAAAAGCGATTTGTGTGAGTGCATCACCTTTCCCCGCACTGGGGAAAGGTTGAACCCAGGGCCTACACACTGAGGTACACTGTACCTCTAACTCGCTCGCTCGCTCGCCTCGCTCTCCTCCCTATTTTGAGACAAGGTCTCTTGTTGCTGAGTCCTCCAGGCTGGGCTTCAATTTGCAATCCTCCTGACAGCCTCCTACAGTTCAGGGATTACAGGCCTGTATCACTTTAAGTGCGTAGCTTTTTTACAGAAAAAATTATTCTCTTGTACTTTACTGCAGTTCACTGTGGAACCTTGTCTGAAACACGAGTGGAATAGAAAGAGAAGAGTAAGCGGTGCAGCGCCCTTTAGCGTGGTTTGAAGGAACACCGGAAAAAAGGCAGCAGCGGTGTGTGTGTGTGTGTGTGTGTGTGTGTGTGTGTGTGTGTGTGTGTGAGAGAGAGAGAGAGAGAGAGAAAGAGAGAGAGAGAGGGAGGATGGGAATGCGTATGTGAGTGAGAGGATAGTCTCTTTCCAGGTAGCTTTTATGTTTCTGGTCTTCAGAAGGTTGAAATGTTAAGGCTTTCATTTGTGTGAAGTTTATGCTGTAAATTGGCATCTTAAAATGGATCCACATTAGAAAGAACTTTAATGTTGGTGGGTTGCACAAAAATTGGGAATTCTGTTTCTTAGCTTGCACCCACTGAGATCCTTGTTTATCATTTAATGCAAACTTGTCTCCTCCCAAAATGTGACTCCTAAAGAAAATGCTGTGACGCTTGTGTAAAACAAGAAATTCTGTATCTGAAAGGATTAATTTTGCTTTTTTTGTTTGTGGTGCTGGGGATTGACCCCTGGGTGTTATGTGTGCTAGGCAGGGGCTTTATCACTGAGCTGCACCCCCAGCCAGGTACATTCCCATGTAAGATCTAGTTAGGTATTACTACTTGGATAAGCTATTTGGGATAAGCTGTTCTCCAGGTTAGTTCTCTGTTTCTGCAGAGACTATAAACAAGGTTAAATAATTACAGGATGCCAGTGAGCTGAAGAATAGTTCAGTTTCTTGTTTCCTGCTTCTGGAGAGCATAGTTGGCTAGTTCAGTATATTTATTTTTAATACTTGATTTAAAAAAAAAACAGGTGGAAACAGAACTTCATTTTTTCAAAATATGGATTAAGTTCTCAAGAGTACATTATGGCCTTGTGATCTTGGAGAAGTGGTTTTGTCTCTGAAGAATTATACAGCACACAGCCATTGAGCAAGACACAAAGGGCCTCTTAAGGCTGAATTTAGTCTTAGGATCCGAAGTGCCTCACCTGCCCCAGTAATGAATGATACCTAAGCCTTAGCCACAATTCCAAGTTTATCCCTGAGAGGTCTGGTGAAGAAAATTGAGCACGAGCTCTTGATAGAACTTCTGTATGTATGTTTACAAGCCATCTGTTTGTTGTAATGTGCTGTAAATCACACCACAATTTGGTTTAAAAGATGACATTAAAACAAACATGTCTGTGTTCTTATCATACCCTAGTGGACCATTTCCGTTCTCAGTGCAGGGATGGCCCTTGCTTCATGGACTCCACACTAGGTTCTGGCATGTGAAGATGAACAGCCTGCTTTGGGTGGTATGCAGGGCGTTGGAGATGACAGACTGGGTGAACAAATTGGATAGAAGCACAAAGAGAAGAAAGCAGAGACCATTTAGGAGACTCCTAGTGGTTTGGTTTGTTGAAGAGTCAAGCCGAAGGGGGCAGAGGCTGGAGATGGGTAGGACCATGGCCATGGCCATGAGTTTGAGCCTGTAATCTGGAGCCACGGACAGATTTTCTGCAGGAGGGTGTGAAACACCAAGTTTGTGTGTTAGATAGCTCTAGAGACAGTGGTTGGCGGGAATGCTGCTGAAACACACTAGTGCCCCTGAGAGATGATGTCACTTGAAGTAAGTTCTGTGGCATTGGGATGGGGCACAGTGGTAGATGCGTTTTCTTTTGTTTTCCTTTGTTTTAGATAGAATTGTCGTTAATTTTCTTTTGTTTTCCTTTGTTTTAGATAGAATTGTCAGATTCCCAAAAGATTGAACAGATTTGGGGCAAGGGGGAAGCATCTGTGAATATTAGGAGTTGACCCTCACTACGGAAATTGAGGGAGCAGTTTGTGGGGAGAAATATCTCATTCTAGTATATATTAAAAAAAAGGGGACCAAAGGCTAGGAAAACTCTCGATAGGTTTATTTTCCTAAGCAATACTTGAGAACATTTTTATTTTCTTTTACTCATTCTAACATTCCAGGCTTTGGGTATGTTACTGATTTGAATGAGCGTTGCTTGAATTAAGAAATCTGAATGTGAAAGAAAGCTGTTAGTCATGTAGTCTGAATTCTTAAGATCCATTGCTTGTTTATACCAGTTCTCAAACTACAGTGACACCTGAATCACTTGGAGGCTCCATAAAACAAAGATACATACACCTATGCCCAGAACTGATTTGTAGGTCTGGGGAACCTGAGAATTAACATTTCTGAACAGTTCCAAAACCATGATGCTGGTTCAGGGACCCCACTTAAGAAGGATTGTTCGATTCCTTACTCTCCCGTGGCTTCCTACTTGAGTGATTCACTTACAAGGAGGCAGGGCACCATGCTGTTTCAGTGGACTGAACTTTGGAATAGTATTTGTCTACACAGGAGCCACACTTTCATTTAGGTTTAAGGTTGAAGTAAACTAACTTGTAGGTTTGTTGTAGGTGCTCAGTAAATGTTTATGGAAGGGACAGCAGTCTAAGTGGCAGGGCCTTGTACAAAGCACAACTGATAAACTGGAATTGTCTTCCAGGTCACTTAGCTCTTTGATTAGTTAATTTTGTCTTCACTTTTAAGTGCTATGTTCATGGCTTGCCCTGGTTGAATAACTTTTTTTTTAAAAAAATGAAGTTTTACAGATAGATAGGTTCAGGAAATTGTCTTGTTTGCTGGGCCAAAGGACTCCCTTCAAAGTCTGCCTTCTTTGTTCAGGGTAGTGCCTTGGTGAGATGAGTCAGACTGAGGTAACAGAGAGCCCTTCCCCATTCCTGTACCTTCGGGTATGGAAACAGGCAAGTCGGTCACAGAGTTTGGAGTTTGGAGCCTGTAATGAGTGACGAGAGCTGATGGTATTTTGTCAGTCATGTGCATGCAAGGAAACCGAAGCCCGGGGTCGGGGCACGGTCACTGTAAAGTGTGGGAACCAGGGCCAAGATGAGGTTGACCTGGTTTCTAGGTTGTATTTCTTGGATCTCTGAACTTAGGCCATATTGATTTGTAGAAATTAGCTTTAAAGATTTGAGAATATGGTTAGTACATTAAAAGTTAAAAAGTAGATAAATAAGATGAATATGATTGTGATTAAGAGAATCCCAGGAGAGGTGTTCAAGTTCTTAACAATTTGCTAAAATGGCTACATTCCCTTTATATACCTAGAGAGCACTCACCTTAGATGACAGCAAGGGTGGTTCAAATTAGTACTGCACGGTCACTTTTTAATTGGGAGACATACTAAGCTATACTCAAGGACAATTGCCTATTACTGAAGATGGGCTTTGAGTAGATATCCATCATGGTTTGAAAAGGAGCCTTCTATCTTGCCTGCTGTTAGAGTAAGAACACATGATCCACTAGCTCAGGGCTGGTTGGGTGGCTTTTGAAAATGAAAATGATAAATGCACTTTTAAAAACAAAGATTGAAAAAGAAAAAAGCAGATTAACTGTTTATAGGAGTGTCTGGCCAAAGTTTTGGGTGAAGCTACTGGTGTTCACTAAGGGAACTTTTCTTAATAAGTAGGATGTTCTTAATTGGGACAACTTTGTAATTTCTACCCCAAATTTTTCCCACTGTTACACGTTCGCAGTTTTGTGAGACAAGAACAGGATATAGTTCTATGGTCCATAAACACTGCTTTCTAATGTCCTCAGTGCTGTGACTTCTTGGTGGACACAGTTCACTTAGCTTAGATTCGTGTGTGTTGACCTTGTGATAATAGGAGAGAGGCATCCAAATCTGAGTAGTTTTTGAAGCTATGAGTTCATGTTTTTATGGGCAGCATGATAGTAATGCTTCGCAACTGGCACGTGCTCTAAGCTCATGCAGTGACTGACACAGATTGGCAGGCGGTGGCTCTGCAGCTGCTCAGTCCTTTTGTCCAGCCTGAGTACCTGTACTTGCACTTCCTTAGATGTATCTTTAAGGCTTTTGTTTTTTCCCTGTGGTTTCAAGTTGATACTATTTAGCTGTTTTATTATGTCAGAAAAAAAAAAAAAAACATCAGAACAAGGTAAATGGTAGCACATAACCTGGCGTATTAAGAGTTCTTAAATCCAAGAAACCAACTTAGTCAATGCAGTAACCTCTCAAAGGAGGTTATTAAAAAAAAAAACCCAAAACAACAAAAACCCCTTTTAAAATACTGTGTAAGGATAGCTGTGGGAACAAAGTCAAGTCCTTGATGACTCATCCTTTGCATGTTCAAATAAGGAGCATGCTGAGACTGCAGCGTAATATTCCTTATGGATATTGCAGACTGAGCACTCCACTCCAGCGCTCCAGCTTTCTCATTTGACTTGCACCAAATATTTAACCTTCCTTTGCTTTCCCTTACAGGTGTCTTTTCTGCTGTAACTGAACTCACCTTTTCATAGTTAACCCAAACAGCTCCAGTTTCTCCTTGGCAGGTTGTCAAATGCTATTCATTTCTGTGTACCACCTAATTAGTGGTATTCTTTTGTTTTTCCCCTTTGTGGATTAGAATCAAGATGGAGTACCCTCGGGGATTCAGGTGGCTGGGTTCAGCTTTATGGTGCTTCTGCTTTAACTTAAACTTTCTTTCCTTTCTAAATTCAATGCCCCAGACTTCTGAAACATTGGAACACTTAGCTGGCAGGTGCTATAGACTTCTCAGCATGATCAACTAATGGTCGCCTGCTGTCTTAGGTAAGTACAAGTTTAAGCCCATTTGTTTGTCATTTCAAGTATTTTAATCAGTGTTTTTTTTTAATAGGTACATGTGAAGATTTTTTTTTGGCAGTTTCGTGAGGAAGCGATTGATCACCTTGTTCTCATTTTGCCTGATCTGTGTTGGCAAGCGCAAGTGCCCAAATGAGCAAGATAGTGCAGCACAGCGGTGCTCCAGGAGTGAACGGAATCAGTGTCATTCATACGCAGGCACAGGCCAGCGGCCTGCAGCAGGTTCCTCAGCTGGTGCCTGCTGGCCCCGGAGGAGGAGGCAAAGCTGCGGCTCCAAGCAAGCAGAGCAAGAAGAGTTCACCCATGGATCGGAATAGTGATGAGTATCGGCAGCGCCGAGAGAGGAACAACATGGCTGTGAAAAAAAGCCGATTGAAAAGCAAGCAGAAAGCACAAGACACGCTGCAGAGGGTAAATCAGCTCAAAGAAGAGAACGAACGGTTGGAAGCAAAAATTAAATTGCTGACAAAGGAATTAAGTGTACTGAAAGATTTGTTTCTTGAGCATGCACACAACCTTGCAGACAACGTGCAGCCCATTAGCACTGAAAATACTACAACAAATTCTGATGCTGCAGGACAGTAGACCTCATCCTTCCAGACTTCCGCAGCTGTGACTTGAACATTGCAAGTGTGACCACCTGCACCACTCAGATGTTCATGGCTGAATGTTGTCCCTTCCATTACTCAAAGATCCATTGGAGATTGTTTTCTAGGATCAGCACTGAAGAGTTGACTAGCTGTGTCATTTAAATATCTGATTTTAAATGATGTGCATTTTTGTGGAAATTGAAAAACAAAAATTTTTAAGGTATATGGTAAAATAAAAAAACGTATCTTGGACCTTAATGTTCTTAATAAATCCTAACTTCCCAAGCAATATTTCTGTTGAGGAATGGGAATCAGGTCATGCAGAAGGTTCTCCGTTTTAATAGATATAAGTATTGGATTAGGAAAAGTTGAATTCCATCTGTGTTAATGTTATTTGTGATTTTATTCTAAATTATTCCTAGGACATAGAAACTAATCATTTTGGAGCGATTTTTGATTTAAAAGAAACTCCATCATATCTTAAAGGCAATATGCATTTAAATGGCTTAACAATAGAATTAAAAAAGTTAAGCATATTAGGATTATGATTTAGGGATACCTTTAGGTATTGGATTGATATTATTTTATGTCCTAAAAAAAATTCATTTGTGTACCAGAATTTTAGTTTCTGCAGATGCTAATAAACCTTTTTTTTTTTTTTGAATCATTTTGAAAGTCAAGTTAGTAAATAAAATGTCTTAACAGTTAGACACCATAAGTTACTGATTTTGATTTGGAATATTAATTGAGCTTGTAGTTTCTTCTGTGTTTCAAATAAATTGCTACAGGGCCATGACTTTTAAAAGGCAAAAATTTATTGTGAAAAAAAATATTATGAAGTACCATTTTGGGATTTAATCTTAACCCAATAAATTACTAGAAAAATATATCAACTCCATGCCATCTCCCAACAATAGTCTAAGAAAACTTGAAAGTATAAGGTTTAAACCTTTTAATTTATTTTGCTTAAATACATCTGTTTGTGTTTTTTGTTGTTTTTTTTTTCTGTGATAATTCTTTTAGTTAGTGGCCTGTTCTTGTAGACTTTCATGTACCACTGCTTCAAAGTTTAGAGCTTTGGGAATTGTAGAGTGATTATTAGTTCATTATATGCTTTTATGTCCCATAAATTATTTTTGAAAGAAAATGCTAGTAAAACTCAGGATATTGACATTTATTTTTATGGTGACAAAAATGGCAATCACTAATGTTAGGCGTCTCTAGAGTTGGTGTTACATCACTGTTGGTAGTTTAGATCGTACGTGTTAACTTTGTCTTTGAGCCTGATTCTAGCCCAAGTTAGTTGGCTTCTGTGCATTGTTTTGTGCCTGGGATTGTGACTAGACAGTCGGACCCGTTTAAAGTTTGTGGTACTAGGTTTCGTATTTGAATATGATCATTTCTGGCCACACTGCTATTTTCTACTAGGACTTGGGATAATGTAACTCAGTTTGCACCCTAGGTTTGATGGAAGTGTGCTGACTGTGCTGTTCTCCTGTGCAGAAGACCACACCGTGCCCTGCAGCTCAGCAGAGATTTTTAGGGCTATCGGTTCCTTGCATATGTGATTGGAGCCAGGCATTGTTCCATGAAATGCTTCTCTGGGGGGGCTGTTGACTCCCCATAAAATCAGGCAATGGTTGATTTTTTTCTTATTTTATGTTAGGGTCCAGCAGCAGTTTACTTTGATCAGTCTATTCATAGAAGTTGTTAGATACTCAGATAACTAGGGCTTACCAACAGAGGCCCACTGAATCTAGTAGCTTACTGATGTTATATAATTAACTTAATGGGAGCTGTAGTTAGGCCACTTGGACCTTTGAACACCTGTAATAGGTGTTACAGTTTAATCCCTTCTTTAAAAAAAATGATGTTCACATGGAATTTGTGGCTATCTGGGATATGAAAAAATGCTGTAGGGAGATCATCAGGAGTGTGTATGCAGTACTTCAAGTCAGAACATGAGATTGGGAGTTTGAGAAAGATTGATTCAAGCTTTCCTGTTGCCTGTGCAATAGGTAACTGAACCCAATTGAATATGAAGAATTGAACACATACAATCATGCATGGGATAAAAATGCTAAGCAGTGTTTAGACTATTCTACTCAAGTGGTTAAAAATGTTTCCTGTGATAGATTCATCAGTAAAAGAGAAACCGAGTGTCAGGAGTGAATAGGTTTAGGGTTTTGGGATTTGTAAAGCGACTGTTGAAACTTTTGAGTTTGTAACTTATGAACCATTAAGATTTGATCTTTAGCACCTGCCTTGCAAGCAGGCAGTCATGAGTTCAATCCCTGGTACCGATAAAAACGAAAAAGACAAAAAAAAAAAAAAAAAAGATTTGATCTTTACATGCAGGTCCAGTGGTTTGAGGATTAGGCTGTAGTACAGGTCTCGAGTTGCATCTGGGATGGTGCCTTTGATTGGTTCAGCCGCAGATGGTGAGTACAGGGCAGCCCTTTCTGTGTCTGGCCCCTTTTAGTTGTGATGCCAGTTCAGATGCTTTGGACATTCTTACTAAGAACTGGTAAGATGTCACTAAAATATGACCAGGTTTTTAAAATTCAGGTCCTGAATGTAAAAAGTAGAAGTATGTACAATATATTAAAAGGAAGGAAATTGTAGCAGCTTTGATGTTTCTTAATCCCTATTAGAGGGCTGAAATTTTGTACCTGAACAACCATTTAGCACTCTGTGCTTTTTGATGCCTTAGAAATAGGAAAAATAATTTTTGTTTGACAAAGGGTAAGAAAGAAAAAGTTCATTTTATAGCTAGTTAGATCTGCCTCAGGAAAAAGTACTAACTTGTCCTTCTTGTTCCTGGCTTTCAGTTTGTGAGATTGCTCTATTTTTTTAATATAATTTTATTTCTTTCAATAAATTCTAAAATAAAAACTTTTGGAACAATGACTGTATTTCATTGTGGATTCTTTACATTAGATTCCAAAAAGCAGTCAAATGTAAACAGCTCTGAAGAGCATGGAGAAGCCTGGCTGGCTTTCCAGTTGTGGGGTGGGATGGGGGTGAAGGGTGGAGGTGCTTTTATCTAAGTCTAGATTGCCCTTAGCAGATAGGAAGTAGTTCTCTTTAAACATGAAGTGCATTTTTAGTTGTACTTCTTAGTACCTGGTCTAAAATACATACTAGAATAGGAAAAACAACACGAGTTCAGCTTGCACATTTTCTGTCTGAGTGCACGGTTTCCATTTACAGAGTGGTAGATCGCCTTTCTCCTACAGTTTTACAGAATGTATGCCACCTTCAGTTACATGTAGCATCGCATGGTAAGGGCTGTAGAAATGAATTTGCTAGTCTATATTTTGAGTCCAAAAAGCCAATTTGAGTTGTTTCAAGGAAAGAGCATTAAAAAAAAAAAAAAAAAAAAAAAAAAAGATGGCATTAAGATACTTCAGTGATCCTTCATGTCTTGGGATACAAATTTCTACTTGCTGCATTATGAAAATTGCATAGTATTTTCCATGGATAGTGTGTCCTCTTTCATTTTTATGAATTATTTGTAATTTGGGATCCAGTGACCTGTCTTGTCAGATTTTAGAGATTATTCCCCTGGAAGTGCCAGGCCTTTTTTTTTCAATCACTTTGAGGCCAACTTTTATATATCCATCTGAAGAATATGTAAGCAGCAAATATGGCATGTGTGCCTCAGTGGGTTTATTGAAAGCTCTTATGTTTCACCATCACGGCCTTAGATACCCTTTTCCTGTAGCGCAAACACCAGCCATTCCCTTTGAATCAATTGTTATGGCCTTTCCACATAACCCCCTTTCAGTTCTACCTCCTGATGGTCTGTGGAGCCTGTCTGCTTCCCTTACCCTAACCCCCTCTGCAGAACCATTCTCTTTGGACTTGGTGATGGGCTCCTCACCGGTTTTCCTGGACAGCTGTCGTCACGAGCTCCAGAACCATTCCACTGTATCTGTGGTGACCAAGAGGAGACACAATCTGGTGATACTGCTCCATTTCATTTTTCCGTTCTCTTACTGTTTGCAGTTCTTTAGGTTCACAATGCAGCATCTCCTTTTGCTTTTCATTTCAAACCATCTGCCCTGTGGCCTGTACAAGGTCCATCCTGTTACTTTTTTCATAGCACTTTTCATTGAGAGAACAGTGAAGCATGTTTATAGTGTCATATTGTACTGACACAATAGATTTTTCATTTATTGATTGGATGTGTAAGGCCCTTTCAAAATTTGGGGAGGCTTTATTTAACATTGTATGGCCTTCTAGAAGGGTCCCTAGTGGTTTTTTTTTTTTTTTTTTTTTTTTGTCTTTTTGAGACAGGGTCTCTCTATGCAGTTCAGGCTGGCCTTGAGCTCACTTTGTAGCCCAGGCTGGTCTTGAACTCATGATGATCCTCCTGCCTCAGCCTCCCGAGTGCTGGGATTACAGGTGTGAGCCACCACGCCCAGCTATCGTGTTTTTGAAGTAATTTGAAGCTTAAATTTTTACAGAGGCTGGAGACAGTTGGATACAGTTCGTGAACATGGAGTAGCATTGGTGGCTACTGCCATCAAAGAATGCCTAGTGAGCTGGACTATTCTGTGTTACCAATGTCCATCCTGGACAGGGCGTTTAGTCAGTGCTTTCTGCTTATTTTTCATCCACCTGCTTGATAAGCATAGAAAACATTTATGTGGAATAAGCAAATTTGGTATGGAAAGTATGGAGGGTTGGGAGGAGAAAAATGCCTGAGTTGTTTGTATATATTTCTTAACAAAACTATTTAGTTTCAGCTTGAGTTGGGCTAGTTTCACCTGAAGTGAGAGGAAACAAATCCTGTACACTCAAACATATCTGTCTGGGGCCACAGGTGAAGAAATGCCTGGCAAACTACAACTCATCTGATGCACAGAAGGACCCAATTATTTCTAAAATTGCTCAGTGTCACCAATTGGTACCAGGGAATGTGTCGGTGCAACAGCAGAAATCCTAAAGAACTGGTTGGTGTTGAAAACCTAAAAAGCAAGTGAGAAAAATCATGATTTGGAACTGAGACAAGCTGTTTCTTTCGGTGGTGCTGGGGGTCAAACCTAGAGCCTTGTGTGTGCTAAGCTTGTGCTCTACAATTGAAGCTATAACCCTAGCCCTGGCTTTTACCTCTTTGTCGCCACATCATCAACACTTTCGTGTTACTGTTATAGGAAGAAATTATTCTTAAACCCGCTGGTGACTTCTCAGTCCAGCTAGTGAGTCTAGCTAGTGCTTGGGCTAGTTTTCTGCTATGACATCCTTTTGTCTCACTTGCCCTTCACCTTGGTTCAGAAATACTTCATATTCAGAAAACGGTACGAAGAACTCTTGTGTGCAGAGTCCTAGAAGCCAGCTCTGGGGAGCGTCAGTCCTGTTGGGCTGTGGGACAAATGAACAAGCAGGGGGCCAGGAATTCCACCGCTGGCAGGGGCCAGCTGAGTCCTGGGTGGCTCACTACTCAAGGGTGAAGTTCTGTCATCATCCACTGAGGGACCTAACCCTGCCCCTCAGAAACCGTCTAGGGGTGCTTATTTACACAGTTTTCTGGGCATCATCCATGGAGACCCTAATTTGGAACATCTGAGCCTGAGTCTTTGGAACCATTGGAGCCCTTGCAGCAGACAAGGTGGCACTGAAGCCCAGCAGAGTCCTCAGGGCTCAACACAGTTCCTGGGGGAGCACCCTACCTTCATCCTGCCATATTAGAACTGGTGGCAGAGGGTGCAGGGCTTGTGCCACCATCACCTTTTTTCTGATGCCAACACTAGCTGGGCCATCTTTTCAGGGCTGGTGGGTCCCAAGCCCTTGCCTACAAAGGGATAAAGCAAGACTTGCAAATAAAAAGGACCATTTAGGGAAATTTTTTTATTGAAAATTCCATTTTGCATATTGATTTTTGGGCAAAAACATCAGAAATGCATCTTTCCTATGAATAGTAATTCAAGTGGCAGCAAGGTACATTTTAGTTGCTATTGAAAAACGGTTATTTTCAATCACTATTTTAAACATTAAAGTACAGTATAGAATTAATCAAGGGTGTGATCTTGCAGAAAGTTAACAGAAAAAGCATTTTTGCTTTCTAGGAAATGCTAGTGTTTGGTATGATCAAATATTGATGCAAAGCTCTTTCTGAGCACCATTTCTCACCACTGAAGGGGCCAATTAACCGTTTGATTGATGTGGAGAAGGTGAAAGGCCAGGCCCTGGCTCTACTTTGGGCCAGAGAAGGATGTAAAGGCCTTGTGACTGCCTGCCATGCATGCTTCGATTTCCTCCACGGTACGGGGCACACAGGTCAGCAACTCCACGCCACTGTCGGTCACCACAACATCTTCTTCAATGCGGACCTAGATCAGATGGACAGATGACTGAACTGCCTTTCTGTGTCCCATCAATGGATCCCACCTGCTCCAGCCAGATCCCTGGTGCTTGAGGAAAACTTCTGGAGGAAGTGACTGAATCCGCCAATGGCAGAAGCAATTGGTCTCAGCCTCTGTGGCTCACTGCCTAGAGCAGTGGAGACAAACCTACGCCCGTGTGCTGCAGCGGGCTGTCTGTGTCACTGAAAGCTCTAAAAAGTTTTCTATCACTGGCCTAGAGGACAGCTCCTTACGTGGCCATTTGGTTGTGTCACCTGCTCACCCTGTCCTTGTCAGGGCACATCTTGAGAAGGCAGGGGTGAGGAACCCGGCCAAAGACCAAACACATGAAGGGGCAGGCCATGTTCAAGTAAGCATGTCAAGATTGTGCCTCCTCCCCCAGGGCCTCTGTCCTGAGACAAAGGTGATGAACAGAAGCAGTGTGGGTGGTGGACATTCTGGGAGCAAGCATGTGGGGCCCATGAACACTCACCCCACCAAAGCCACGAAAGCGCTGCAGGACCTCACGGTTAAAGAAGCAGGCTTGGGCCTGGTCAGCCAGGGCCTCATCCAGGAGGTGGTCGATGAAGTAGATGCCTGGCTCCACAGTGAGCACCATGCCTGGCTCCAGCTGCCGTGCGGTGCGCAGGCTCCGCAGACCAGGCTCGTCAATGCGCTCCACGCCCTGTAGGGACGGGAAAGGTGGAGGACCCAAGTGCTGGCTGCAGGGCTGCTTGCGAAGAGCCTCCACTGCCTGAGTGGAGGACAGCCAGACAGGTTGGCTGCGGCCTCATGGGCTCTCCGACAATGACAATGGGGTCTCCAGTCCAGACTCATCCCTTCTGTGCCACGCCCCAGGCACTTCTGATAAGATCTCTGGATTTTGAGTGTCCTTGGCCTCTGGTTACCCTCATAATTGCCTTCAGGAGTACACTGATGTGTACACAGCCAAGGCAGGCAGTCCAGGTGGCCTCAAGGGGCTGGCTAGGTGTCTGGCTGCCCTTACCTAGGCCCAGGGAATGGCAGAAGCCAATACAATACAAAACAAAACCCGTAAGGAGGTTATGAGGCCTTCTGGGGCAGCAGTTTTCCTTCCAGGAAGCTCACGTGGAAACTGGCCCCAGCAGCGCTGGTTCTGTCTCCCCAGCCCAGCCCCAGCACTGGCCTGTAAGTACCTGCGTGTGCCTGACTTGGTGGTGTGGCTCTCGAGCAGCCCTCTGCACCTTGTAGCTGGGCCCTGGGAAATGGTCCTAGGCTCTTGAGGAATCAAGTAACAGCTGCTTTCCCTCCTCCTCGGTGCACACCCAGCCTGGGCCTGGCTGCTCACCCAGGCACGGCTTACAGAGCTTCAGCCTGGGCTGAGAGAAAGTGGTACCCAGGATACTTGAGGAGTGTCCTTGCCTTCATCAGATCCCATATGGTTCTTGGCCAGGGCCTCTGAGCAAGTGGGTAGCGAGCAAGCTTTCTGGTCAGGATCTGAGTTTGCCCTGCCCTGCTTGCAGCTCCCCTAGGAAGCCCAGCTGTTGGAGATCGAGCTGTCATTTCTGACTGTTTGGGGGC